GCCCAGCTCTCCAGCCTGTCCAGGTCTCACTGAATGGCAGCACAGCCTTCAGGCGTGTCAGCCAATCCTCCAAACTTCGTATCATCAGCAAACTCGCTGAGGGTGGCCACTACCCCCTCATCAAGGTCACTGATGAAGATGTTGAACAGGACCGGACCCAGCACCGACCCCTGGGGAACACCGCTGGTTACAGGTCTCCAACCAGACTCTGCACCGCCAATGACAACCCTCTGTGCTCTGCCAGTCAGCCAGTTCTCAACCCACCTCACTGTCCACTCATCTGTCCCGCACTTCCTCAGCTTCGTGTCACCTCTCACGGTTTGCACTGTGAGAAATATTGTGCCATGGAAGCTTTGGGGAAGACGAAATCTGTGCAGGCTTCTGTTGCAGAAAAACAGAGCTTTATGGAGGTGGGATTTAAAAGCAGTTTTGCCCTCTGGGGGGGATCTCACATCACATTACTGATGGCCTCCCTGTATGGTTTTCTTGGCTGGTGCTGCAGTGGAAGTGGCAGTGACAGCTCCGTGTGCAGCTCCCCAGGAGGCAGTTGGCTGGAAGGAGGGCTTCCTTTGCACTGTGCTCTTCATCCCTGTTGATGTGCCCGTTCTTCAGCGGTGGATGATCCTTACAAACCTCATCTGCCTCAGAGTTCCTCCTGGCTCCTGCACAGTTCAGGACCTCCTTCCCCAGCTGAGCCCTTCACGCAAAGTCTTCCAGCTTTGTTATGAAGATCACACGTAGAGGAACAAAGCTGAGCACTGAAATGGCAGCTGTCTCTGTAAGAAGTGCACAGCACTTGTGTGGGGAGGCACTGCCACTGCTCTGCCTTGGGGAGCCCAGGGAGCACAGCAGTGTGAGTAGGAGCAGCAAATGCCTGGCTTTGGGTGCCATTCCTGCAGGCCCTCTGCAGCTTTGGACTGTGACATCGAGTCAGCTGGAGCCATCCAGCACATAGCATTCAGAACTCAGAAACTCAATGTTTCCAAGACCACATAAAATATCCAGAAAGAAGATAAAAGCTCAAACTGACCAGAGGAGATGCAGCACCATTCTGCTGCATGCCTTTATCTCCCTGTGCCCATGGTTGCTCTGGCAGTGAGAATGGTCCCAGCTGCACTAATCAAATCTAATGTGATTGCTATGAGCAGGAATTCAGTTACCATTAAGGGGATGGTAGTCCCTTTCTGGTCTTTCAGCTTCGTGTCTCATTTGTCTGATAAGCTCCAGGTTTTATTTATTAGACTTTGTAGTGTTTTTGCACATGGCAATTCTGTGTGCTTTGCTTCCACAGCATTTTTTCCCCTTCACCTTTGTTCCCTTTCAGCTTTGCATATTGGCATTCCCTCTGACTCAGCTGGTGGGATGCAGTTTTTGCCTGGCAGGCCTTATTTCAGTTAAGGAGAGGTGGCTTTTCCTTGTCTTGGCCACGCTGTTTCCTCTGTTTCATGCTGTAGCTGTTCAGTTCTTGTTGCTCTTAATTTCCAGTGCTTCCACTTCTGCATGTTGATGCTCCATTTCCAGCTCCATTTAATTTTCTTTGAATCAGTAGCAGATGCTTCACTTAGATGTTAGCCAATCTTCTCACGTTGCCTGTGGAGACATCTCCACATTCTTGAGGAGTTTTTGGGTATGTTACATCAATTGCTAAGAAAATACAGTCAGATGCGACAAATGCCAGCACAAGGGGTGTCTCTGCTGTGGTCATGAGGAGAGCACCTCGCTTTGCCAAGTCCTCGTGCTCCTGGGTGTCTGGAGACATTTCTGTGTCTGCAGAAGGAAGGCTGCCCTATGGAGCTTCTTCCTGGAACAGGAGTGTGGTTCTCTCCTTCAACGAGAGCAGCTGGGGTGCTCACCAGCACTCGTGTGCCTGTGCTGTGGTTGTGGCTGGTGCTGATGTAGCCAGAGGGTGGAAGGCAGGTGAGAAAAGAAAGGGCTGATGTTGGTACAAGGAGTGTTAGTAAGGGCAGAAATAATGTGGGCATGCTTGATCCCCCAAATCCAGTCTGCTACTGCTTGTTTATCCCCTGTTTTCTGAAGGAGTGACTGAGTGTGCCAGCAGCGTGGGCTGGGGATGGCTCACTTTGCTTTAGGTGCACTCTGGCTGCTGGGTGGTGCATGGTGTGTGTGAGGCTCTGCTTCCTTCAGCTGGACTGGAGGGATGTGCTTGGAAGGAAAAGGCCAAGCAGCGGGGCTGTAAAACCATGAGAACGTTACCTGAGAACAGTGTGACATCTGCCAACGTGCCTGTGGTCCCACACTTCACATTACCTCAGTTACTTCAGGGAGATATTTCATCTGCCCACTGACTTTGCTGCCTACCAGGACCAGAACTGGCTTCCTAGATGCGGGCATTAAGGAGTCAGTTCCCTAAGCAAGCTAGACACAAAGGAAAGATGGCTTTCCCTCCATCCAAATTTGGTCCCTTTTTGTGTGGCTGATGATCTTTGCTTCATGGTGTTATTTTTCTCTTGCGCTGCGTGTGAAATGCTAGAAGTGATTGGTGGATAGAAACAGTGATCAGAATTTAAAAAAAAAAAAAAAAAAAAAAAGATAAATAGAACAATGCGACACAAACATAGCATGGGGAAACCAGTTGTCCAAAACCAGAGGTGGTGTGGCTGTGCCATTGAGAGGCTTTCCGAGTGTCCCTGCCGAGCTCTGGGCTTTGGTTTCTGTTCCCAGCCTGGGACCTCTCCTCCTCCCCTGGTGCTTTATGGTCACACTGAGGCAGTGAGCATCAGAACTTGCACAGTGTCTGTCTTGTGTAAGCACTGCGAGTTGAACAGAACTGTGGCCGATACTGTGACTCGTGCCTTCAAGTCCTTTCTGTCTTTCAATTTGCAGAATGTAGGTGTGGACCGGTCGAGAGAAGAAGCCTTGAGGACGGTACCCAACCACCTATAGCTGCAGCTCCGAGGCAGCAGCCCTTCCTGCAGCACCTGAGCACGGAGCAGCAGCTCGGGCCTTGAGAACGGTGACGGCGCCGCTGGGCGGCAGGCAGAGCGCAGCTCCCCTCCGCCGTCAGACATTGCCAGTGTGATTCGGCTGCTTTGGAGAACAGCTGTAGTCGTGGTTAACTCCTGGTAGTGGAAAAAAGAAATCCGTGCTGACGGAGTCCAGTTGGTTTTAGACTTCTGTACGTAAAGTTGTGCTGTTTCAGTGGCTTTTAGTGTTCATCTGTGGATACTGCGAGATGGTTAACTGCCCGTGTCAATTTTACTGTCAGATTTTACTAGACCTTACTTTCTTTAAGTGTTTTTCTAAGAATTTCTCTTATTTCCACTGTGAATCATTGCCTAGAATTACAGAGAGGCTTATTTAACAGACAGAATCCTGCATTTAGAGCATTGGAGGCTTCGTGTTGCAAAACTACTTTCAATGAGAAAGCTCATCAGCTGTACTAGCTTCTGTCTCACCATGACCTTGGGTTTGCCCCAAAACACTTAAACTGTTAAGAGAGGGGGAGACTTTCCCCTTGGGAAACAAAACAGTTGCAATGAGTTTCACCACCTGGTAGATGCTGCTGCTTGAATGGGGTTGTAGCATTTCCCGGGGGGGGCAGCAGGCTGGGCAATGAGAGCAGGCAGAGCAGTGCCCTGCCGTGTGCTCGGCTGCACGAGGGCCTGGCAGCTGTTTGACTGTGAGCTGGGGAAGGGCTCGGGATGCAGAGGCTGGAGGAGCTGCTGTTCTTTTTAGCGCTGTGATTTGGAGGTAATTTTGGGATGAATTTCAACATGTATGTTTATCTTTACGGCCACATCTAACACACGCATCAGGAAACAGTACAGAAAGGTTAGGTGGCATTTCACCTTTCTTATAGCTCATGCAAGAAAACATCAGGTAAACCGTGAACCTTTTTTTGTCGCATGGCCTGCATGTTTTTTGATTTGTTTTTAAGCAACCTCTCACTGCCCAAATTCTTCACTGCTGTTCTGTAGTTCTCTGTGAAACTCAGAGAAACAAATGGGCTTCTCTATGTCTGTTGAGGGAACGACCTCCTGAGCACTAACCTGCGTGTGTTCGGTGTGTTACCACAGCTGAAGTGAGCTGCCAGCTGTGCTGGCTTCCTCCTGGGAGGGAGGACTTCTTGAGTTGGAGGCCTTTGTGTTGATGGACGGTGCTTTGGGTTTGTTTCGGTTGGTTGTTTGGTTGTTTGTTAAATTTTTATTCTTAAGGACTTGAAGTGGCCGAACCTTTACCACGTACCATTGTTGACTTAAAAACAGAACGCAACAGAACTTTGTTCAGTTCCTGTATGAAATACTGGGTCCTCATAACATCGCTTTGCAGGCTGGGGATGCACTGTCTTCTGTTCATGCAGGATTTATAAGACAATGTGCTGCAGTCGTGGTTTGTTTTAATAAGCCAATGTCAGCGAGCTGCTCCGTGCTGGAAGTAAGCCATATCACCTCGCTGGGTTCCACTACAGGAGAGGAGAGAGGAGGGCACGAAGTGACCAGGACCACTTGCCGTGAGCGCTGCTGGCTCGAGCTGTGTGTGTGTGTGACCCATTAACTCAGCACTGTGTGCCTCAGCCCCTTCTTCATTCAGCTGTGTTCGTAGCTATTTGTGAGCAGAGCCCACGCGCTGCTGCTCCGCATACTTAATTTATTGGTGCATAGTAACCAAGGCCATCTTTGTGAGAAACGCACAGAACACTTTCCCCCCTCTGATTTTGTGTTCTTTGCTTGGGAAGGCAGGGCTGTTCTCCTCCAGACCTCTGCTGTGACTGGCAGCCATTCCACAGCTCCTCCACTGAGACGTGTGCCCCTGGGTAGAGGGGCTGGGGAAGCAGGGGAGCACACCTCCAAGGAGCGGGATGGAAGGAGAGGTTTCCCCTAGCAGGAGGTGAGCTGGAGGCTGCTCTTTCCTCCCCTTCTCTGTTTGACCTCTCTGCCCTTTCAGAGGTGCTGTAGAATTCCTCAAGGCTAAATGTTTTACGTACAGTAGGTATTCTTATAGCCTGCTTTTGAATATACTGTGAGTGTTCTACTGAGTGTTGAGTTAAAAAAAATAAAAAATAAAAAAAAAGGTTGTATAGAAGTGTAAATAAACTGTTATGCTGATACTTGAAGAGAAAAAATTATGAAGTTGTCTGTGGGACTTTAGGTACTAAATCATCAACTGCATCCACCCCTTTCTAGCTGGTGAGAGCAAATGTAGACAGTGAATGTAACTGCAGCGAGCTGCATTCTGCCTGCAGTGTGACTTCTGCCTGGGGAGGCACTGGGGAGGACTGCAGTGCACCAGCAGTGCCCTGAGCAGCTGCCTGTGTCCTGCACTCTTCCTGCCATGCAGCCCTGACAGAGGCAGCACAGGAGGTAAAAACCCTCGTCCTGGTCTTGTGTATCTGTGTCTGTTTCACTACCTTCTGACTGTTAATGCACTCGCTAGCTCAGATGCAGACTTCTGAACGTGATTAAACTACCTTTTCTTACACTGTTGGCCTTCATCGTTGTAATCTTTTAGACCAATGTAATTGTTTGACATTTGATCCAAGCAATAAAGATCAAATGTGACACCCTGCACTGCTGTGTTCTTTCCACGGCTGCTGCAGCAGTGGAAGTGCTGGGGAGCAATTTTTCTTTTAGGTGAGAATGGTGAAGATTTGCCCAAAGGAGCAGGAAGGTAAGACTATTAACTCTTCCTTGTCACTGGTATTTTAAGGCCTGACTCAAGCTTTTAACACTGCGCTGCTCTTGCATCCTCTTCCACGTGCCGCCTTCTGGCACATATTTGCACATACAGTTGAGGCAGCATGAAAATTCCAGAGGCAAAGTAGGAATGAAGTGATTGAGGTACCACAACTGGTTAAGGGGCATGGTGCTGCAGAGCTCAAGAATAGAGCAGCTGCTTACCCTGCTCCTTTAGAGCAGCCCCTGCAGCCTGGCACACAGCAGGGAGGGGAAGTGCTGGCAGCAGCTTTGCAGTTGCACAGTGCTGCAGAAATGAAAGTCGGGGAATTCCTGCAACACACATGTTTTTCCCTTCTGGGGAAGGGAAATGAGTTTCTCTCTCATGTTTTCCCAGTAAAGATGAAGGCATTTATTAACTGTCAGAGCCAAGGACGTACAGCTAACCTGCTGTATGTGGGCCTCAGTGCCCAGAGCAGCACTGCCCTGCTGCCTCCACCAGCTGCAGGCTGTTAATTCCTCATTTCAGATAATTCTGAAAGGTTTTTCTTATCTTTGTAAGCGAAGAAGACTTGAAAGCTATTATCGTTTTCTACTGTGGATTAATTACAACTGGAGTTTAAATTGGGTATTTGTCCAGGAAAAAGAAATCAAAGTGAGGAATGAAAGTTTAATGTAACTTTCTTTGAAGTGAGGACAAAAAAACCAAGGGCTCAAACACATTTTTTTAAAAAGACATCTTCCATTCTCCAATGTCTTGAGCAAAATATACAGCATATATATTTATATATATATAAAACATAACTACATTCAAGTAACCAAACAATTTACATTTTCCCAAACAGAGAAAATAATGCACGTGATTCACATACCTCACACCCGGCCATGCATAAAACACTGCCAATAAATCAGCAGTTACACATGATTAACCACACAAGGAGCTGCTACTCTGAAGTATTGACACATCACTGGAACACACCACTTAGCACTGCAGTTTTCTGGTCATAGCATTTGTAAGTCTGGCTCCGTTCAGACTATTTTTCTAAGATCTGTTCAAATTTCGGGTTGGTGAAGGAGAAGCCATCGAACGCAGACTGATCCATGGAGTCAATCAGGTTTTTGTCACTGTAGGAGAGCTTCGGCTTCTCATTCAGAAATTCTCTGTCAAAGTTGTTGTAATCACTCGCTGACTTCTGTTAAATAGAGAAGGAATGACAGTTTGGTACAGGGCTGCAAACCTGGCTTCCAGAGCAACAGCATTTCCCAAACCACACTCTGGGTTCAGTGAAAAAAAATTCTTTGCCTATTTTAAACAATACAACAACTCTCCAAATAGGCAGTTGCATATTGTTGGTTGGGAACAAATAGCACTATGTTGCTTTGAAAAAAGAACCACCTGGGCTTGTGATGAAGTTTCACTTAATTACCCAGGGATTCTCTACTGTTGCAAGCAAAGCAGGTACATTTAAACCCACAGGTATTTTTCAATTCCTGAAAGTATTTAAAGGTCTGCATTCATTCAGAGAAAGATCTGATGCCTTCTTGCAGCTGTCTCATGTCTGGATAAAACTAATATTTGTGTATGTTTCTTAAGAATTCCCACTACTGAAGGCCATGTTTTACTTTCTGAACCTCCAAAGCTTACAGTTTGCAGGACTCTTAAACTTCCACAGTGCCTTTCTATGTTAACATGGGCCATGAAGCCTCCCATTCTTAAGTGGAACAATTTCTGCATCAAGAATATAAGGACATTTTAAGAAGACAGCTTAATCTCTAGATCATTTACCTGTACCTGCACCAGGGTTAAGGAAAACTGATCTGAATTTTTAACTCAGATAAAGCAGCAGCAGTCTGTGGTGATGTTTGTTCTTTGCACGCTCCTCCTTTTAGATAACAGTAGGCACATGCACTGCAAACAGCTTTAATATCAGTGGTGTGGAGAACACATCCTCCTGCCCAGCTGGAGACTCTCATATGAGCTGGGAGCAGCAGAGGTGTTTAGTATTGGTGCAGATCGTGCCTGCAGGAACCAGCTGAGCAGCCCAAAGTTTATTGGTTCTTCACCAACATGGCAACACAGAAGAGAAAAACCCAGCAGTGCTACCAGTAGTGCTGACATCAAGGCATGAAAAACATTCACTTCTCCACTGATGTAAAGATTTAAGAAGGGTGGACTTCAGAACTATGAGTTGATTTTTCCTGAAGGCTGTAGCGGTAAATACGCTTCTTGAGGTTGTATAAGAAGGTAGTCTTAAAAGAAAGACTTCAAACTAGAAAAGATTTCAGGTTTCAGGAGAAACTACAGTAAGAATGCTTCAAGTAAGTTAGAGAAACCACCCACCACTCCTATATGGGCATTTGCAGTATTGCCAAGAAACAAAGAATCATCCACATACCACTTTTGGTTTGAAAGGAGGGTCTACCTCCCTCTTCTCCAGGGTCGTCCAGTTGATGGTTTTGAAGAAAGGATGATCTCTAATATTCCCAGTGACACCGAGTCTTCTTGTTGGATCTCTTTCAAATAGCTGCAAGACAAGATACATATACATCATTGGTTAATGATGTCTTACATTTGCTAAGAAGGTAAGTGGCACTGGAAGAAGTATGCTGCTGAACCAGCCAAAGTTGCTAACAGTAAACAGACAGGACTGCTAGCCTCCCTTGGCTTTCAATTTGTAAGTTATCTCCTAGCTGATAAGCAGCTCCTTTTAAAAGCTGAGATTTCAGGGAATCATAGAATCTTTTGAGTTGGAAGGGACCTTTAAGGCTTCCTCCACCTGTAGTGAGCAGGGACACCCACAGCTCCATCAGTGCTCAGAGCCCCAGCCAGCCTGACCTTGAATGTCCCCAGGAATGGGGCACCACCACTTCTCTGGGCCTCACTTCCTTTACTGTAAAAAACAAAAATCAAAAAACAAACAAAAACTAAAAAATCCTCCTTCCTAATATCCAATCTAATTCTCCCCTCTTTTAGTTTGAAGCCATTTCCCCTTGTCCTGTCACAACAGACCCTGCTAAAGTCTGTCCCCTTCTTTCTTACAGCCCCTTTGGATACCAACAGGCCGCTCTCAGCTCTCCCCACAGCCTTTTCTTCTCCACCTGCACAGCCCCAGCTCTCAGCCTGTCCTGTATGGGACTCATAAGGGAACACCCCTGTTGGGAAGAAATACGCTCTGACAACCCACTCAAGGATAATCAAACTTACCTTTTCTAATATATCTTTTGATTCCTTGGTAATCCAGCGTGGGTAGTGAGGTGTGTCCACTCGGATTGACTCAAACAACTCATCTTCATCATCCCCATGGAAAGGGGACTGCCCAATGAGCATCTCGTATAGCAGGACCCCAAACGACCACCAGTCCACAGAGAATGTGTACTTCAAGCCTTGCAGAATCTTGTTCCATGAAAAGAGTACAGGGGAAGAAATGTGACTAATTAGTAAAAGGCAGAAGTGCATGCCAAGAAAACAGAAGTGCGAGTTTAAGAGAAATCTTTAGTAACAAGCTTATCTGGGGAGGTGGAAAAATCCAGCTGTCTGACAGGACTGCTGACACTCTGTAGCACTACGCTCAGTGCTGTGTGTGGAAACGTGGAAGCTCAGAGGACACATCTTTGCTCTCATTCTGAAGTTCTCTCCATTAACTTTAAATGTCACATTCTTGGAAACACCTACTCTAGTTTCATTACAAAGTAATGAACAGGGAATGGAGGAGCATAGCAATGAAAGCAGATTATTAACCAACAGACTTCGACATTTATTGCTTTCAATAGCTAACCACCTTATTTGACTACTATGCAAATCAGATAAGAAACCAGTTCTGAACACAAGGAATTTAACTGTGAGAGTCTCCTCAGAAGCTGTTCTTGCTTTGAATTTTGGCTGTTTACATGGGTGCATGTCTGTTTATCACCTGCAGTACATACATTTTGCAGGAGCCCTGCGTGTATGCCAGTGTTAAGGCAGAAGGGAAAGCTACAGATTTTCAAAAACTGAAAAATTTACATTTTAAAAGAAAAAAAATAGGGGTTTTGTGAAGTGTAGATAGAGAACACTTACAAATGTTAAGAACCTTCCACAGAAAAGCTCAGATTTAATGTTTTTCTTATGCTAATTAGACTTTTTTGTTTTTTAAACAGTTTTGAACTGCTTTTCTTAAGAGGGAAGAATAACCACAGAGGCCACTCTAAGGTGGGTGCATTAAATCCACAGAAGCAGTGTGTGGCACTGATGTACTGACCTCTGGAGCAATGTAGTCCGGGGTCCCACAGAAAGTGCTTGCCTTGTTCTCACCAACTACATTTTCTTTGCACATTCCAAAATCAGCTATTTTGATGTGGCCTTCTTTATCGAGCATAACATTGTCCAGTTTTAGGTCTCTGCAAAAAGGGGATAAAAGAAAAATGGCATGTTTGAAAGATGAGTGAATCGTTTTTGTATTCAGATGTATGCGTGTTCCTCCCTGGCTAAGAACAGCCCTCCCTACATCACACAGAGAGGCTTTTCAAGGAAACAATCATCCATCAACACAATATCTATGAGATATTAACTCCTGTACTTTGAAGATGGTAGGGAGAAAGGAAAACTTCTCCTCAGAGTAAGAAAGAAGCAGAGGTGTATATACAAAGTGACTGTATAATCCTCACCATATGTTTCCAAGTCCAGAACCACTCTCAGTGCTTCGGTTGCCTCTGGAAAGAGGTGTGAGTTAATGCCTCACCAGCCAACACAGCAGTGCTGCACCGACTGTGTAACTCAAAGGAAGGGCTGTCAGATGCCTGGAGTGTTTGGCACAAGCACCGATGTTCAAAGCCTGCCCAATTTTCGTACCACCTGTGACTTGTACCTAGTTACAGCACAAGGGACTGTGTGTGCTGTGGCCCACTGTCAGTGACATGCCCTCTTCGTGCCTTTTCTTAGAACTGCACTCCTCAAGCAGCAAGAGCCTTTTTTAACAGCAGTTTCCAAAAGCTACATTCCCTCCCTTTGACTGCAACGTGGTTTTTGTCCATCTGGCTGCAAAAGCACATACCGAGGAGGGCAGGCTGAATAGAAACCATGCAGCCCTTCTGCTTACTAAGAAAGACTTGAATTGAGCAGATTTTACATGAGAACAGGGCAGTCTTTTCTCCCTCGGAGCTTAAGCTTATATTATCAGCTACTTACACTGCCACAAGGGTGAGCTGCAGTATGAACTACAGGAGTGAGCTGCAGCAGGAACCAAGAGTCCCTGCTCAAATGCAAGGCACTGTAAATCCTTCTGTGTTTGGACATCTGCTTTTATTCACCTGAGTAAGTTTCTGAGACAGGGAAAGCTCACTGTAACATAAGGCACTGCTCTTATCTAGCTGCAAGTTCTAAAATCATCTGTAGGGGTGCGAAGGGTTCACTGATGTGCATCACCTACCTAAAACTGCTCCAGTTAGGTTCTGTGATTATATTGGTCAACTTCCTGTGTGCGATGGGGAAGAAAAGTACCTTTGGTTTTGCTGATATTCTGTTGGTAAAATGGTACTGTTTCTCTGAAAATATTCCATACTCTGAAATCTCCCTCTAGGAGCACTAATTTAATGTAGGGACATTTATAAGCAGGCCTGGAAATGCTCTACAAAATCTGGGATGGAAAGATTTCCTGCTGATAACAGCATGCTCCAACAGGTGTTTCTGTACAGCACTAAAGGGAGATGGGCTCTACTGGACATCTCGGGATGCACTTACCTAAGGCCATGCATAACTTGCTCTCAAGCACACAGATGTTGTCTGCTAGAGATAAGTGTTGCCCGAACAGGTAGTTACCAAACAGTGCTTTAGAGACTTAGGGTGTAATGTGGATATTTAAAAAGCATCTGATGAGCATTTAGTTCCTAATATTTGGACCTGGTGAGGCAGAAGCATTGATTCTATGGTTTTACACAGATAGCAAAAGCAGACGACTTTCAATCTCTGTGATTTCACAGGGCTGGTAGGAACTGATACCCACAGGGACCCTCACCATTGCCACTGAACTAGAAAGACTCCTGATTTGAAGAGAGGGTTTAAAAATAACAGTCAAAATTGCTTTTGTGTAACATAATAACATTCCAGCATTCTGGTTGCCAAGGAAAAGACACAAAGATACAGAATTCATCTCAGGCATGTTAATGCCCTTGGAATAACATCAAATGTCTGACAGACAGCCTTTACTTGTTACATCAATCAGTAACTCTAATAGGCATGAAATGTTAAGGCATTTCCTAGTTCCCACGCTGGAACTAGATGGTACTCACCTATAAATAATGCCTTTGCTGTGAAGAAACTGTAGCCCACATAAAATTTCAGCTCCATAAAACCTGAAGAAACCAAAATGCCTTTTAGTTTAGTTTGTCTTTCCCAGTTAAAACATGAGACAATGCAGCTGGCCAAAAGAACTACCATAAACTTCATGAAGTGAGAAGTATTATATGCTCCTTTAAATACTCAGAAAGAGCAAGGCAATATTTAATGTTAGACCTGTATTTATACAGGTGGACGTTATAATCTGTGAGTTAACCTTCACCACGCAGCTGTCAAACAGCAGGGACAGCAACTTGCTTTAATGCTCCATTCTCTTTCACTGTGGAATGCTGTCCCTTTTCTACTCTTTAATAGTTCAGCATGTATTTATAGAGAGATATGCAAACACTTTTTGAAATACAGTTACTGGGAGCGTAATACTCACAGCACTGCTTTGGGGGGGGATGGGGCATTAAAGGCTAAATTTGAAACAGACCTCAATACCAATATCCTTCTATGCTTGCCCAGTTGCAGCACAGGCTGAAAAAAAGCACTGCTTCTGTCTCAAAAAGGAGGTGATAATCCAGAATACCAAGGAAAACATTTAAGGAATGCTTTCTTTTTCCCCGAGAATGTATGCCTTTAATCCAAGGAGCATTTCCTTAGTACAACTCGCAGTAACACCAGCCATTTTCTTCTCCAGTTACACAACAGCACTGGTGCTTTTGGGTACCCCATGCTGTTACATTTAAGATTCTCCCATGCACTCATTCAGTGACACAATTACAGGCATTTTGCTGGGTGAGGTAGTTAAAAACTGAACTAAAAGTTACAGTTGGGACAATACGATATTTTTGCATCTTTTAAAGTCTTCAGCTCTGGTTATCTTTGCCGTAGGTTACCGACAGAATCACTTTCCCATTTTTATTAACATCATGTGTGAAGTGCATGCTATCCTCCTATACTGGTGATATTATTTACTAGATTCTCCCAGCCCCCTCCAATGTTGTTTTCTTATGAAATTATTTTTTTCCATGGAAATACTCTCCTAAAGAATACTAATGCTGTACTTTTTCATTGCTGGCTTATGCTGTGGCTTGCCTGCATCTTCATGTAAAGGCATCCTTTAAAGCAAAACACGAAGTGCTTTGTAAATGTTAGAACTAGAAGCAGTAAAACCATAAAGACTATAAGCATTCATGGAGATTGGGACTGAAGCATTGTGGACTTACGTTGCTCTGTAGAGATCAAAACGCCCCTTATCTTGTATGTGAAACATCAGGTCTCCCCCATTCAGGAACTCCATAACAAAAAACAGGTGATCCTGTTTGCAGATAATCAGAGAACAGAAACATTACTGATGTCATTGTATACACAGTAAGTAGCAACGTGGCTCCTGGGTACCAAGTGGCCACATTCCTCATATCCTGAAATATTTACCTGTTCCGTGCACCCCTAAGAGTGTATGAGGTTGCTATAGATTTGAGTAGCATGATCTTATAAGGTTGAAGAGCTCATCATGTATTCTATATAAATATACATTTAAACAGACTTACTGACTTCTGTCTGTCATTACTGACAGTCATTTTTGTTCCCTTCACTGAGGATAATAAAGCCAAGGTCAAGGCTTTAAATTAAACTGCCTCTTACTCCACATTGTGTAGGTGTTACTCAGATCTATTTTCCTTAGTGGGTATCACGCTCACATTTACTTTCCACAGGTCTTGTGAACTACTGCAGGGCAGCACAAGAAGAATGAAGCAAGAGTTAAATCCCCTAAGCTATTTTCACTTGACCGTTGGTAACAGCACCCATTAAAAGGCTACATGTGTTGTGTTGCTGTTGCCATTGGGATTCTTTTCCTTACCTTTGTCTGGAATGTGCAATAAAGGTGTGTGAGAAATGGATTTTCCCATGCAAGTGCTAGGACCCGCTTCTCCACCATGGTACATTCTACATCATCATCAATTAGCACCACATCTTTCTTCAGAGCTTTGATAGCAAAGAACTCATTCTTTCCTTTTAGCTCAGCAAGCAGGACCTACAAATGAAACAAAAGATGAGATTACAGCACGTGTAGGAAAGACTGCTGTTGATGGTATCAATTAAGGAAAAGTCAAGGGCATTTACAGCAAGCGTCATGACAACTAAACAACCACATAAATGGGAAAGATGGGTGAGATTTGGGAAGGTGAACCTGCTGGGCGTGGCTAAGAGGAGATAGGGTACAAAGAGCATGGAACACAGGCAGAGCAGCTGTCAGGCAGTTTTTCTGTCTTGTGATGTCAGAAGTAGATGCCTGTTTCTTCATTGGAGCTAGAGTTTCACAGCCAACAGAGGACAGACCCTGAGGAGGTCACACCACTGCTGGACATGCACAGAGCAGAGGCACACAGGAGTGGAAGGTCACACTGCCCTCCCACGTATCCCCTCCCATTGCACTGAGTTCATCTGTATACAGAGTGTATGAACGTGAATTATCCTTTTGGATAAAGAGCAATTCCTCCAAACTGGATATTAAATAATTCAAAACCTGTCGTGTATTACGAATCCCTTCTGAGTTCTGACAGATTCAGGCAAAGACTTGTCTTTGGCAAGGATGTGTTCTTCTGTGTTCTGTTAAAATATTATCTATTTGAGCGGATGTAAGACAGTTAGGTTAACAGAAACAGCCCATAGTACTGCAGAGATCAAGCAAGGCTGTCAGTTTAAGCTCTGTAAGTTTGCTACATACCTTTCCAAAACTTCCTTTCCCCAGTACTTTATGGAAGACAAAGCTGTCTATATTGAATTTTCTCCTGCTTGCAATTCGTGGTGCTGGCTTGGCAGTGCTCCCCTCCCAGAGTTTATCATATTGGCTGTTATCTGCTAATTTAAAAAGGGAGGTTAAAGTTCAGTATATTTAGAAAAACTGCACAACTCAGATCGCCTGCTGTGAATTAGTGACACAGTATTTCAATTCAGTGACATGCTATTTCAGTTCATCTGCTGCTGGGACACTGGCCAATCTAACCATGCGGGTCAAATCATGTAGTTTACAACAAATTTGAATTACTCAAGAACACCTGATAATGTTGCATTGGAATCTGTGATCATTTCTGAAGCTGGGTTTAAGCAACACATACATTATGAAAATAAAAGAGCCTAACTTTATCACTAAGGTACAGAGCATAATTTGGAGAACAGGACAGGAGAGGTCAGTCCTCCTGTCTGAGGAGAGAGGCCATAAGAAATCTGGTCTGCGTCTGATCAAAGAATCACCAAGGTTGGAAAAGACCTCGAAGATCATCCAGCCCAACCATCTACCTACCACCAGTATTCCCCACTAAACCGTGTTCCTCAGTACAACATCTACATGTTTCTTGGACACCTGCAGGGGTGGTGACTCCACCACCTCCCCGGGCAGCCCATTCCAGCACCTGCTCACTCTTTTGGAGAAGAAAGTATTCCAAATACCCAACCTGAACCTCCCTGGTGCAACTTGAGGCCATTCCCTCTCGTCCTATTGCTGTTTCCTGGAAGAGAGGCCAAGCCCCACCTCATCACAGCCTCCCTTCAGAAAGTTGTACTCCTCCAGATTGACCAATCCCAGCTCCCTCAGCCACTCCCCATAAAACTCATGTTCCAGTTCCCTCACCAGCTTCACTGCCCTTCTCTGAACACATTCCAGGACCTCAATGTCCTTCTTGTAGTGAGGGGCCCAAAACTGAACTCCGTACTTGAGACCTCAACCAGAGCTGAGTACAGGAGGATGATCACCTTCCTGCTCCAGCTAGCAACAGATGATGCTGGCTAAGAAGCATGAAAACAACAGTTAAGTTCGATTATATTCTAAAATGAATAACTATCATTCCTTGGATCCCTACTGCACAGATCTACCATGTCACCAACAAGACACTGATGACAATCACAAGATGATATCGTATACACCCTACAAGCTGCACAGCATCTGAAGCAGGCAGGAATCGCAATGGCTGCAATCCTGACCTAATATTCAACCAAGCCACCTTTGCAAGAGGTTACTTGCTGTCTTTTGTAAAATCAGAACAAGTACGATAAATAATATAACACATTTTCTTACTGGGCATTGCAACAGAACTACCTGTAAAACCCCCATTTACTTCTTATTGAGCCTGGAGACTTCCATCTGATACAAAGTCAGCTTTTTGTTATACCTACCTCTGAATAAATAATCACAAGTTACTAAACCCAGATATATTAACTGCTAGAACTCTTTAACAATAGTAGAAAATACAAATAAACCTCATTCTGAACCTGCTGAGATAATTTAAGTGGGATTTGGAATCCTATCTCAGCTGCTCAATCTCAGTGTTCTGGCTCCTGAATCCCATAGTTGACAGCAGTTGTCACTGCACAAAGGCTTCCAACATACAAACAAAGATGGTTAACAATAGATGTGACATTTTGGGGGAGGTGGAGAGGTGTCAGAGCAGTGAGCTGTTCCCCACTGCCACTCAGGAACAGTGCCACAAGGAGATAACACACAGGTGTTCTGCAGAAAAGTGGGTTTGCTCATGGACTGAAAAAACACTGCTCTTTGCCAAGAAGTTATTAAGCACTTTGCATGGTCAGGTAAAAATTATGTGTATATTTTTAACAATGCTTGTTAAAAAAATCGTCTAACAGAAGGCAATAATGAATAACTGAAACTAGCAGCTTGTGCAGTCTGGTGGGTAAATGACTGGAGGAAAATACTGTTGCTTTTCTTACCTGTTGCATCCCCTCCTGGACCTCGATGTTTCTTATCAAAATCCTGGTAAATACCAACATTTTCTACAGATCCAGAATCAGACCTTCGTGTGGACTTCTAAGAAGGAAGAGAACACTTTAAGCTCTACTGATACTGGTACTTCAGAAATATCTACAACAATAGCTGGTAAATGCAATGTGATGGCAGTATGATCTTCGCTTTTTAACAATCAACTCCCAGCACATCTCTCCTATAGAATTCTAGTTCACAGACTATTTAGCCACACTTTTTCAGCTTAGCCAATCATTTTACTTCTTTTACTGGCAAGAAAAACAATCACCAGAAATCCTAAACAGTCTGTGTAGTTATTTGCTGAAAAAGGTGGTGCAAAAGGTTTAAATCCACAGTGAAAACAATTGTTTGGTTTGGATTTGCTGTAGGAAACAGTTCCCTGGACTTGTGTTAATTTTTCTGAAAGGGGAGGTGGGAATCACTGTTATACTGGACACACCAGAATCAGTGTGTGACATCCTTCTTTAGCACATGCAAAGAAATTTTAGGTAGGAAGATCTCAGAGATCAAGTTCTACTAATGAGCACATGAAGTTTTTCTGTGTTGTGAAAGCTGGTGTAACAGCTCTCAGTGTTTCCAAAGTAAATATCCTGTTAAAGCTAAAGGAATGCCTCAGCTGAGAGAAAATACTGTTGGCTTTTGTGATATATTTTCCTGTTTTATTTCAGAGCTTGTGTTTGAATCTTAATTTCCAACTCAGAAGTCAACAGCAATCTGTACACAAAAGACAGCCACACTGCAGAAGGAGACCAACAAGGTAAATTATGGGGCCAGTGCTAATTCCAGGGGCATTTTCTTTCTGTATGTATCAGATTAATAAACACTGGAATGATTTGGTCTATTTCTCCTTACATATTTAATTTCAGCATTCAAGGGAAATTCTATAGCTGAAGCACGAGAAAAAGAGATTTCAGCTTTATGCTTTGAACACAATTAAGCAGAAAGGGAGAAAATAACCCTGGCACTGTCAAAGAACCAAGGTGCGTTTCAGGGAGAACACTTCTCCTTTTTCAGAATTCTTTGTCAGGAGGGATGTTTTTCTCCTCAACTTCACCTCTACGTTGCTGACATCACTGTTACTCTCCTTATGGTCAAATTAAGAAGAGAAAGTTGTTTACATTCCCTCAGTTCCAAACTTCCATTCCCAACAAAAGTGATATGGAATAGTTGAAGTAAAATAAAAAATGAAAATGCTCTCAAACAACTAACTGAATGACAGAGGGCAATAAAACATACCTGGCTGACTTGAGTTAAAGCTTCAGCTAGCAACTTCTGGTTAATTCCACACAGGTTGGCCACCTTCTTTTGGCATTTATGATGCACATTCATTGCACATTCTAAAATAAATTTAAGGACAGTTATACAAGCACCAGGAAAATAACATTTGAGGTTACAACAAAATGGCTTTTTCCTCAGTGCAGTTCATAAGCATTACAGCAAGCCTTGGTTAGACATTAATCTATGTTACAAATAAAACTTAAAATTTTTATCTTTAACACAATGAAGGTTACAAAAATACAAAAAAAAAGTTTCCATCATTCTTCTCTTCTCAAAGTGTGTTACAATAAAGATCATCTTACATTTTTGTGACAGAATTACAAAAATCGTATTTGCAGTGAACACATTAACTACACCTTAGGTGCTACCTTGAGTCAGTCTCACCAGATTTCAGCTACTCCCAGCAGCAATTTTGATTATGCTCAAGATTACATCTCCACTGCATGTCTTCCAACTGCATGAGATGCTCAGCTTGGCTGAGCTGTCACACAAGCCAAGCACCTTGCTGTCCCCCTTTACTAAAAAGCTGTTTAAACAACACATGGATGATAAATCCACAACACATAAATGCAACGTGTGGTGATAGCTAATCTCTAGCAAGGGGCAGAGAGAAAGTGATCCTGTTGGACAAGCAGTGGGAGGTCCCACCTGCCCTCCCTCTTCCTCTGTACCTTCACATTTGAGTCCTTGCTTGACCAGCCCCCAGAGCAGGCTGCCACAGTGGTCACAGAAAGTAGGGCTCATGTAGTTGTAAACTTTGAAGCGGTGAGGCATGTCAATGTTGAAACGTTCCTTCTGAAACTGTGGGCAGAGAGATGGGTGAGGCACTTGACACAAAAGAGGACCAGCTTCCTATAGAAAATAGCTTGGAAATTACAAAGCTACAACAATTTTATACTGGATACCCCAGTCTTAACATTCTGCATGTAAGAATTTAGGTACATATTCCAGCCTAACAGGGCAGTTACTGAACAAAAACATGCTTTTTACATCTTACCACATTACATCTTTACATCTTACCACATCAGCAGTGAACATGAAGCTACAGAGTTAAATATATACGAGACAATCGTGTGAGATTCTCGGGGTCCTGACAATAGTCAACTCTCACTTTCAAGTACTGATGTTGTATAACACAGATGAAAGATAAGAGTCTCTGCAAAACACACTCAAAACATTGGGAAAACAATGCCACCTCACCCTCACAGTACATCACTAGGTGTAGCAATACACCATGTCACAAAACACACCCAAGAGAAAAATTTGGTATCTGGGACTTTTGAAGCCTGTGAAAATCCTTCTTGATCCATGAGTACATCCTTCATCTAGCAGGGAGCGAAGCACCCATCAATACTACCCACCTCCCACCTCCTTGTAGGGCTTTTAACTACCTTTTTTTTTTCTTTTTCTTTTTTACTTCAAAGTTCCACCCACTACACATTCAAACCCATTCTTAAGAAGTAACTCCACTGCGCAGGCAAATACCTCCCAGAATGTACCTGCCTGTTTCCATGCAGGGTTTTGTTAGCTCAGGAGTATTTAGTTACACTCCAAGAATACTGTTCCAGCTCTTACCATTGTGTCTCTGCTGTTGGCTGCAGTACCAGTACACCTCCCAATGATTTTATCAATACATTTCTTATGAATAGCAGCGTTGCATTCTTCATGACATGTACAAGGAAAAAAAAAAGGATTTCTTCAGATAATACATACATGGGATGAGGTGTTTGCATTTCATAGCACAACATGAAAAAATACACCATCATACCACTGTACCAAACCACTTCTATCAAGATGATCTTTCTAAAGCAGTTTCCCTTTCATTCTCTCCTACCATAGCTTCTATTTCTAAATGAAATCTGTCTTCATTAGATAATGCCACCAGAATTTGATAATATGAGGTTGATAATATGAGGACAATATTAGGCTTTTTATCCTCTTTGATACCTCCTTTGCTGTTTGAAATAACACACAGAGTTAGGAAGTGTTTTTGAATTCAGCTGTAAAATCCATCAGTAATTGTAATTTATTTTACAAAAGGTTTCACAAAAGCAGCTGTCATGTATGAGTGCAACTTTTCCAGTGTATTACATACATGTTAGAAGAATAGTTCTGTCTAAATCTTGGTACTAAAATTTCAGGTAGGAATCACAGCTAGGCAACTTTAGATCATCACACAAAATTTATATTTAGCATCTACTGATGATGTAGATATTTGTGCAAATTTACAGGATTTTTTTTCCAAAGGTAACAGCTGGATCTATAAAATAAATTAGATCTATAAAATAATGTAGAAAGTAAAACAATAAAAAGACAAAATTCAACTTACGCCTACATTTGTATCCTTGTTTGTTCAGTCCCCTGAAAAACAAATGATAGAGAAGGAAATCACGTAAGTATATGCTTGCTAGAAGTGGTTTTTTTTTTTCCTATATCCACTATGTCATCCAATTTCTTGATCCATGGGACCATTTGCTCCCATTAATAAACTGGTCTAAGTTCTAGTATTCAGAACCCACTGCCCTAGGAAGACAAGACTTAGAAATAAAAGTAGTATGTTCTGAAAGGCTATCACATTAGCAGGAGAACACAGAAAAAAAAAGCTTCAATCACTGGGAAATTCCTCCTGATTTGGCTTACTGTTAGAATGACTTTCCTACCACACTGATCCAGCTTCTTGCTCGGTCTTTATTCTGCTATCAGCTCCTTCATATCTCAAAGTCTGAGAGAGTAAATACTTTCCAATGTGTACTACTGATGAATTTACATCTATGTTTTTTTCAATATACGAGGGCAATTTTACAGTTATTTATCCTTTAGGGGTGGGGGAAGTTTAGTGCTTCTTTCTTACCATACGAACTCTTTGCAGACAGAACAAAATGTGGGCTGTCCAAAGAAGGTAGCAATAAATTCATGATTTTTGATGTAGTGGATCTTTGCTTGCTTGATAGCTCCTCTCCTGTTGATAGTTACTGTTCCTTCTTCTTCCCTCATTGACTGTCTGCAATCTAAGGGGAGAAGTAGGCAGACAAGACGACATACTTTTAATTCTAAGTTATTACCAAGACTAATATTTGTTTCTCCAAAATATTGTTTCCTCTTCTGTTTCCAGCTTGTATTTCTAATTTACACCTCCATCATCCTTGCAGACATTCAGTCCAACAAGGGCAAAGCACATGAATGCACTGGTTCCTAAGCATTCTTTTTGCAGGCAGCTCTCGCTCCTGCTCCTTCAGAGGAAGCCTTCAGCAAATGAAGCTGACAAGAAGCAGAGAAGTAGCACAGGCTCACTGGAGAAATGACAACTACAGATGTTTCTTGAAAAATTCTAAGCTCTAGTCCATATTAAAGAGAAATTATGTTTTATTGGAAGCAAGATATCTTCTCCATCAGTAGAAGCCTTTTCATACTCTGCATGCCCTTCTCAATCTGACCTTCCGAGTCATCACTGGACCACATGGTTGTTTCATTTTGAGATATGAATTTCTTCAGGCCTTCAAGAATTGGCTGAGAACTGGCCCATACAGACCCTTCATCACTGGTTATAGTTGTTTCTACCCATTTCCAAGGAAGCTTCCCAGTTTGTATCACAGAAGTGAGTTTCCTATGTCATAATGTCTCAATCAAAACTCAAGACTCTATAGTGATACACATTTTGAAAACAATAGGAAGAGACTGTAAAGGAAACAGCTCCATAAAGGTGCATCAAAACTGACTGGGATAACTGGCAATTTAACTGTAGGATGCATCTCTTCTGGACAGAAAGGAGCTGATAAGAGACAAGCCTGATTCAGCAGGGAAAGACGTAAGCTTCAATCAACCACAGGAGCAAGTGCATTGCTAATCACTTCAGTTCTGGTCAGCAGTAGAGGGTCTCAATGAGGAAAAACACAGCCATGGCTCACAGGGTGGAAATGCTGCAAAGTTTAGGGTAACGAGACTGCCTTGTGCAGGGTGGGAGGTTTCACAACCATGGTGCAACATAAAAGCCATAAGAGTACTTTTCCCATTGCCAACAGAACTGGGGTTTGATTTACTCCATGGCATTGCTGCCTTTCAACACCGTCAGGCAGTGCTTTGCCTTCTATAAGGGCTGCTCCAAGAGGAATGCCTCCTATTTTATTCTGTCAGCCCACAAAGTCAGAGGCAGATGTCTGTGAGATGACAGTTGAGCTTGAACCTTCCTACCAATATTCTGTGACATTCTGTTGCCATACAAAGACGGCAGCAGAGTCAGACAAAATAGTGTGGGACACGGAAGTGCTTATAAAACAAAGGGGTGTCACTGTATTTCTCCATGCAGAAAAATTAGCACTAACTGACATTTATCAACACTTGTTGAATGTTGATAGAGACCAACTGGTGGATGTAAGCACAGTGAGGTGGTGGGTGGTGTGCTTCAGCAGTGGTGACAGCAACATGAAAGACCAGTCATCATCACAGAATCATAGAATGGCCTGGGTTGAAAAGGACCATAAGGATTGTCTAGTTTCAACCCCCCTGCTATGTGCAGGGTTGCCAGCCACTAGGAGGCATTACTTTTGGAGTGACCTACGTAGACTGATAGAAACAGCCTTGTTTCCTTTGCCAAGTCACATTAAGCACAATGCCTGCATTTACCACTAAGTTACCCAAGAGCCCTGTTCTTGTTGCTAACTGTGCTTGTTCTTTACCATTTTATCAGCTGCCTGCCACTGCTGCAGTTCCAACAGACCACTGAACATGGAAGACAATCTATCATCCGATACCATTTTGAGTGTCCTGAGCTAATTCATCAGTTACAGACAACATCAGTCAGCCTACAGCAGCACTTGCTATTGTAGAAAAGAAAGGTCAAAGTCAGTTCAGAGGTTAAGAAAAGATTAAGCATTTTACTGCAAAAAATGATCCAAAAAAACCCCTCGGTTTTGAGCATCAGATATTAAAGCACTTTCCTGAGAAACTGACCATCTGGGTCAGAGAAAAACCCACCCTGTCTTGACCTGATGAGTTTAAAAGATGCACTGACACCATGTACACTGCAACTTCTTTAGGTAAAGGATTCATTTCTGCTGTTCAAACAGGCCCCTGAGTTCACCCAACAAAAACTCCCATCAACTGCTGCACTCCAGGCTCGCTCATGTCTGCATACAGTACTATCCTTTGGTTGAACCCTGCTGAGCAAATACACAGATCACACCCACTGTCCCTCAAATGCTTCAGGGAAACCACACACTGAAATGTGTGGGCAAAAAAAAAGAAAAGCATGTCAAGAGCTGGTAGAAGTTCATGCTGCCTATTGCATGAAAAGTATGTGTTCAGAAGGGGGATTTAATCAGTAATAGCAACAAAGCAGATGAAGTAATGATATTTCTTCACATGTTTTAAGGAGATTGAACAGACTGGGGAAAAAGTCTTCCTAAAGCCTGAACACTGTGGTTCCTCATTTTACAATGAGCAACAAACAGGATTCACCACTGTGCGAACAGGATATGGCTTCTCATGCTGGTTCACTGTTAGCAATTTAGTATTGCTGATGCTGCGCGCAAAATTCCCAGATAACACTTTAGATCAAGGTATGGGAAATCATGGTGTTTCCTCCTCGTCTGGAAAACTGACGTTGAAACTAGCAGAAATGTATTAGATAGGCACCTAGTTTTAATGGGGTAATTAGTAAACTGGGCTGCATCACTTGAGAAGTGGGAAAAATAAATGTTTTCCTTAAACATATTCTGACTATGAAGAATCCTGGAGCACGGAGAAACTTCAAAATCTGCACATGAGAATGAACAGTCTTCACAACCTGCTGCCTTATTATGTACCTTTGCCATAACCAAGCAACATACCAAAGCACAGCTGAAAGCACTTTGCATGCTAATGAAGACACCGTGAGGTTTGGACAGCAGCTGTATGGCGTGTACATCTGAACCTGAGATGGCTCCAAAATGACAGCATGGATCATTTCCATTTACTACAGCTATACTTAGCCAGTTATTGTTAATGAGCAAATTATCTTTAATGTGTATTGCTCAAGTTTTTAAGAAGTTCAGCCAAACACAGACTCAGGGAACAGAGGCTTTGTTTTAGAGATGTAGAGAGAACTGATGACTGCAAGGAAGGACATTTTCCAACAGCAGCATGGAGGCAGTGAGAGGAAGAAACACTAAGGGGAAGACTTTGCTTTTCTCCAAGCCAGAACCTCCCCAGGTGACACACTTGTGCTGAGCTGGCAAAACCAGAGCCACGGAGCTGAATCAGCAACTAGAATCTGGTGACCTCTGCTGCAACAGCAGCCCATTGAAATCATTCAGAACCCAGCACACACCATTAACCATCATCTACTTCTTCTGTTGAGAACTACAGTTAATATTTATCACTTGCACACTGCTTTTATATTCCAAGGATCCTCCTCAAAACTTGCAGTTGATGTGACAAAAGGACCCGTGCTGCCCTGTGCCACATACTCATTAAAGCACGCCCGAGTGCCAACGCTGCACTTCTGCAGAGGTCTGCAGCCATAGCAGTGTGCACACTGTCCAACTGTAGCACCAGCCCCTGCGACTGCAGCCAGCAACACACCAGGCAAACCACAGCCTGAGAAACATCTGCTGAGCTACCCAACACAACACTGCTGGGACTCTGCTGACCTGTAATGAACCTCAAGGCGAGATACCAGATTGTCTGTTTGACCTCCCAAGTTACAAAACAAACAAACAGAGTTTTAAAGAGAATAGAAAAATATTTATCATCTTCAGAGTTCATTTTTCACTTTATCCTGTTCGTTTCATGATTTTGTTTATAATCTGAAGAGAGGAAAGATAACCAATGCTACTGGCAGAACCTGAGAACCGAGACTTTGCTTCTAACAGAGACAGGCAAAACGTTTCCCAAGTTAAATGGCTGATTGAGTTGAAAGAGATTTGCCGGAAACTTTACCGTAAATAATAAAACTCATCAACATTTCTGTTCTGTGTGTCTTTCTGCAGTTCTACTGCCCTGCAGTTAGCTCTGTTTGAAAGTTAAGTCAAGAAAAATATTAATCTCACGTGGTAATCATTAAAAAAAGAAATCTTGCTTCTCTCATAGGAGACCTTCCTGGTACAAACTGGCTCTCTAATCTGGTCTTGGAGAGGTTTGCTCTACAGGTCTGTACAAAAAAACATCCACACAAGTACAAGTTTCCCAGAAGTCTGTGTTTCTGTGACACAAATTTGCTATGCTAAACTCTTTTGGGGTTTGTGACCGTTACGATTCACTTACAGGCTGAATATTAATATTGCCAGGTATTTCTCTTTCTTTTAAGCCATCTTCTCCATCTTCAAAACCTGCACAAGCCCATACTCCGTGCTCTCAAAGCTGGAGCACAACATCACATTACCTGCCTCAGCCCCAGGCAGCCACACTGCAGGCTTCAACAAGGGAGCTCAAATCCATTTCTGAACTCTTTCCAGCACCTTTTGTAAAGGTAAACATAATCCATGCAATAAACACAAAGACACAGAAAACACAACCTTTAATTGAAAAACCAACCAAACTGCAACTAACTCAAATTTCAAACATATATTTGATATTGAGCTTCCTCTGGCCTGCACAGTGTTAGTTACCTTCCCAACCAAATGCACTACCAATTGTGCACTTATCAAACAACTCCAACCGGGAACGTTTGATTTCCTTGAAAAGAAAAAGGTTTCTGTTAAATGAGTGCAAGCATACTTCTGCAGGCAGGTCAAATCTAGACCCACACAACACGCAGATCACGACAGCAGAGCATCTGTGCGTCTGTTCTTTATGTCATTATTTTTCACAGAAGCCTCAGAAAAAACCTGATCTGAAAAGCTCTCAGATCTCAAACTCACCCAACACTCATCACATCACACACAAGAAAAGCATTACAAATAACTGCAGCTCCCTGCCTCACATTACTCTCCCAGAAACCAGATACTTCAGATATCAGGAGCTCACATGCAAACCTGGTCCACCTGCCTGGAGCTGAAGGTAACACTTCAGGAAGCTGAAAGCAGCAAAACAGTCAGTCAGAATCCAGAACCAAGAACAAAAGCTGTGTTCCCAAAGCTGCTAGCAGAGCAGGCCATGCAGCAGTTCAGCAAGCCACATCTGTGAACCTGGGTTTTCTTACTCTGTAAGGTCATTAACTACATTTAATGAAACAAGGAGCCACAGAAGCATTAAACACATTGCAGCTCCCACCTATTAAAAGTAAAGATGCGTTACAGAACTACAAGCTATTTTCAATACTGCAGGAGAATGAGAGGGAAAAGGAAAACAGTATTTTGAAATGAAAACAGGAGTCAACATCCTGCTGTTCTGCTTCACACAGTAGAAGACAAGCTTTGATTTCCAGCACAAACTCGTTTGTAGATCCCAGGACAGAAGGCAAAAGAAGTAGAGCACTATGCCAGGGCTCTGCTGTCACTGCCTGGTAGAAAAGAGCATCCAAGACTGGGCAGACTTTTCAAATGTGCCTCTAAAATCTACTGACTAGACTCCAGTCTGCAAAGTGAATGCACAAACACATAAATGAAATGGCTCAGTGCAGCCCACCATGGAGCAAATTTAATACCACTTAATTCCAAGAAAGTTATTTTCCATTATCCTCTAACAATAAATCTGGTAATGGAGCAGTACCATGCTTACTTCTCAGCACTGCTGCTTACTATGAAAGCTAAGAAAAGCAATTTTCTATAGAGATAGCAGAATGTGTTCTACTTAGATGGAAAGGCTGGAAATCAAAACTTCTATCTGCAAAACGAGCCAAAGAAAGCTTGTCATCTCTGCAAAGTGCTTGAGATGTTCAAATGCGAGCTACCACCTACAACTCAAGGACACAGATGGCAGCAATACCTCAACCTAGGAACAGCTGGAGTGCCAGTTTCAGAACAAGCATTTTTTAGTATTTTAGAGCAGTGCAAAGATAAGTGCAAACTGCTGCACAGCTTTCCTACATCGCAATATACAGTGAGACAAAAGCAAGCCTGTTACACTGAGCAGTGTATATTACAATATAATGATGCTGGATGTGAACATTCTAAGCATCAGATTGAACAACTTTCCTTCACAAAACGTAGCTGGATAACTATGCCTTGGAAAGGAGTCTCTGATGACTCTGTACTTCAGTTATCAAAAAGGGGTTGGTCAGTCACTGCCTATAGACTGGAAGGTAAACAGAGAAAAAAGTAGAGTACTGCAAAACAGAAGGCCAAACTGAAACACTGCAAATGTCAACTTGAAAACTAAAGCAAGCCTGGATGATTTAATAATCTGTTTACTATTTAGATTTCATCTACTGCCATTTTAATCACTAATAATAAAAGCAATGAAAGGACTTTCAATAACGCTGTATCAATTTTTAATTTCATCTGACAAATAACAATGTGCAATCATTTTATAGCACATACAGCACACATCAGCACCTCTCCCTAGCATTTTGTAGCAAATTACACATATGCAACCTCTACTGTTTTTCACATCAGTATGGAGGGATGGAGCTTCAGTTTCATAAAATGAAAAACTGAAAAAAAATGAAGCAGGATTTGTGCACCTGTGGTTGAGAGATGTTTAAGCTTTCTGGACAAATAGATTTCTGTATGCCTTGCTGAACACACAGAGCCTCATCACACTGGTATTCCATGAAGCTGCCTTGGGTGGGAAAGCAATGATAACGTCCAAGACAAAGGTTTCCTAACATAATGGTTCACAACAATTTGAATGTCAAACAGAGTATCACTGGTGCATAAACAGAGATTCCAACCTCCAGAGACATGCTTTTGCATATGGTTCTTCACCAATTTTTTTTAATACTGCTTTAAAGAATAAACATTTCATAAAGAAGAACGATGTAACAAGACTAGAGGCAGCTTTTGGGTTGTGTTCTTTTTACCACTGCAAAGCTAAAACACCAACTCTGACATGCTGCAGTGTCACCTTCTGCATATCACCATCTATCTTTAGTAGCCTTTCCAGAAGCTGCCATGCAGATTGCACATATGATACAAAAAACCTTTAGAAACTACTTGTTCTATGAGAGTAGAACTATGTTCCCTGTATATATTTGGAAAAAAAAAGAAAAAACAAAATAACCACACACACACACAAAAAACAAGCAAAAAACCAACCCCAAACAACAACAAAAAACATTAAACTCACACAAATGCTTTCAAGCTTAGTGCTTATCCACTGATTATTTATAAACACAGTATAATACCACGTAAGACTGACAAGCTAAAATGACAGAGCAGTGGTTCCCAATAAATAAAGCTTTCGTGACTTCTAGTATGGGAAAGTTAAGCAAGCTGTGAGGTTTACATCATTTCCTTTAGGAAAGTTATACAAATCACTGCTAGAATATTTGTTTTTGCTGGTGTTCCTAAAGCTTCCCCCCCTCATAATCAGCTACCTCCTCTCATCTCCTAGCTTCTTGCCAGTGTGTGCAGATTTCTAACACATACAGCCTGTTAATTTTTTCATCTGATACAGCAGAACATTAATAGGATTTGCATTTAACATTTAACCATTCACCAACTGCTATGATTGATTTCCATGACTAATGAGTACTACAGCTGAATCCCAGGAAAATCAGACCCACTTCCCCAATCCACAAAAAACGTTTACCACAAAAATTAGAACAAGACATTTAACTTCTTTATGCTTAAAACAGAAACTCAGTATTTTTTTGTTGAGTCAAAACATGAGGGCAGATATATTAAAGGCCCCAGGGTGCCTGAATGCAACAGAGTACTACAGAGTATGCAGGCATTTAGAAATTAACAAATGTGGCACCCATGACTCCACCAAAGCAAAGAAAACCCTTACAAAACAAAACAAAAAAATTTGCAAAATGAATTAATAACATCAGAAAACTACTCAGTACACCAGGATTTTTTTGTATTTTTTTTGTAATCTACATCCCGTGTTTTACAGAACTGGAAATAAAAAACAAACTTACCTGCATCTTCTAAAAAATACTGCACAGCCATCAGCACCTTCCCCTGAGGTTGTAGGTCAAGCTGTGGAAAGAAAGATACCAAAGGTGAAGTATGTGGTAGACTGAAACTCCCAAGAGCTTACACTGCTCTCTAGGCAACCAAAGCACAGTGTTCAGTAACTGCTGGATTGTGACCTATTCCATATCTCACGGCTGCAGCTGAACCAGGTGCTTTTATCCTATTGTTTTTACTACTATGCTGCATGGCTTTGATGTCGACCCAGCAGCTCAGTGCAGTTACAGTTCATTGTTTTTACACGTTCTCTTCCCTCTTCTGAATTTCATCAGCATCTATTTTTACTTTCAGTAAATTCAATTTGCACAGGAATCCAGGTTTTAAATTCTGTACAACAATTAATAACAATATTGACAGCACAAACCACAGATACACCAAATACTGTCACACATCATCAGAAAAACAGCAATGGCATCAACATTTATTTTGCTTTTTCCCCTCAAACTGTTAGACAAGGTTTCTCTGGCAAAGCCTACTGACCAACATCATTACAAAGCTCCCAGAGAAAAGCAAGTGTCTTTCAAGCCTACGCTCAGTAACCACTACTTCTTAACCGGTGGCCTTCATAAAAGATAGGAAACTATTAGCATGAAAGAATCAGATTCAGTCTTTACCTTAGAGCAAAGTACCGCTGGGTTAGTACAACTTGGGAAAAACAAGATACACCCATGAATATATTTCCACAGATCCCATTGCCCTACTGGGATAATGGCCAATTTTATTTTATTTTATTTTTTATTTCTAAGGCACTGTGACACTCAGAAACATCTGACTAACAAATGCAAAGACTTCAGTAACTACTGACTGGCTTCCTCTCCAAACACAAAGCCAGCCTTCCAAGCCATAGTAAGTGGAGTGACACCTTTGCTGAGCACAATGGTTTACCCAAGTGGTGACTGAGGTCATTTAATGCTGAAGGTGACTAGGTGGTACTGCTCTGTGGATAACAAGCAAAAGATTTCAAACCACTGAACTGGCTGAACTAATACTGATTGCTATTAGTTTCAACAGTTCTAAATAATTACTTTTGTCCCAGAATTCAAGAGGAAAAAAATGTACAATTTCAGAACATAACAGATGAGCACAAACCAGTGAGACATTACTGAGCTTGCAAAATCTGTAAAATCCTTCAAAAATATTAAACATCACCTTAAGTTTTCTGTTTTTCACCTTCACGATCTGTTTGGTGAGGTAGACTTGCACATACTCAGAAGAGCAAAATCCTGCTACTTACAATAAAAATGCACTTGAGATAGATAGAATAGTTCCTTAACAAGTATTCCCACACTAAGCGAGACAACTGGATGCTCCTTTTGGTACTTCTATCTAGCATTCAGGATGACCCACCATTGATTTAGGCACCCCTTTCCAATGGGGAACTAGCTTTGTCAGGTCTGTGAGCAAAGAGACCCATCAGACATATCCATAACTAACTTTACTATCCCCCCATCCTGCTTTAGGTGGGCCAGTGAAAAGGTCTTCTCCTGAAGCATCCTGGGCAAATTCAGCAACACAACAGGCTTTGAATATAAGATTACGCATGAGATTTTAAGGAGATCTGCTTGTATTTAGAAAATACTACTTTTGCATGGACCGTGCTCCATATACAGAGGTGGGCAGCTCCTGTAGCACCAGACACACATACTTTTTGTGCAAACTGTCTGGAGTTCAGCTTTACCTACAACTGCAAGTTGAGCAGGAATATGGCACCTAGCCACCCAGCTCTCACTCAAATGATGGGATATCGAGATACTCCTTTCTGAATCTTTTTCTCCACTCTGAAAAATGTTGGCTGTGCAGGACACTAACTAGAGTTGCTTCAAAATCTGATACAATTATAGAATTCTGTGTGACATTAACGCCACATCACATTCTCACTACACTTTTTGTTAGACCAGGGTGTGAGCAGCTTCACTGAATGAAAAGAGAAGGAAGAAATCTTATTTAAGCTTATTCAGGTAGAGAATAGGATTTTATAAATATGGTATAAGTAAAACTGTAATTTATCAAAAACTCATTGCAGCTCATCAATTGAATGAATGAAATAATGTGTTCAGTATTTCAGACCTGTGGGCCCACGGTTTTGATCCTGCCCATTCCTATCACTTACTTGTCTCCTGACACAAAAAATACATTTTTAATTTCCTTTTTATTTGATGTTTACAGTGGTAGTTAAAGATCATTCAAACACAATTATTTAACAGCTGCTCTTTGATTTTACGTTGTTTGACAACAAACAACTTCAGTATTTAAAACTACAGTAGACCTTAACTTCATCTCCTACATTATACTCTTGAGTCTGACTCTCAAAGTTGCACCTAGCATGAAACAGGAGCAAACAGCAGGTTTAGTAAGATAGCACACCTTTTGACTTCATCTACAAACCACTGGGCATAGAGGCAAGAAAAGATACCATTAACTCATAAATGAGGATTAACAAATGCCCATTTAAGCAGCATCAAGCCACATAAAACATTTTGTGAAAATACATGTGTAAAACAGAAACATAAAGCTGAAATGTCTTAGAATCAGCTTCTCTTTATTCTCTGAAGGAATCACAACAATCAGCTTGTGCTTAAATTTGAACTGATTTCTGTAACAAGCATTAAGCTTTTAAAAATAGGCACTCTGTGATTTATATCAATATTTCATACACTGAAGTCACTGGTTTCATTGACAGTTTCCTGAACTTTGTATATAACCTGCTTTAAAAAAGGCTGCTAAAGTAATGGTCTTATAAGTCCTGCTACACAGGTGAAAGAGATCAAAACACGCACAGTTTAAAAGGCACAAAGTGTCTGTTCAGCTTGGAAGAAGCAGAACCAGGTCAGCAAGTTTAAGGAATTATTCTTTTCCCTTACCCAGAATTCTGCTTTGCCACTGCCCTTCTTGCAGCGCTCCGCCAGGACAGACACACCTACAGTCACTTCAGATAATGGCTCTTCTGCTGCTTTCATGAGAACAATCTGAATCACGCGTCCTTCATAAATGTGGGCATCAAAAGTAGACTTCCATTCCGGATACATGGTGGGTTTCTTCTGAACCAGAGTTTTTCCTCTCTCTGAAAGACACGTTAAAAATGGAGAGAAACTGTAAAACCAAAAGGCAAAGCTCACCCGGACCAGCAGAATAGGTAAAGGCAACAAAGGTGTTACTGTGCCACCCCAGAGACTGGGGAGACAATACCCAGTGTGGGATTAGTCATATGCATTCCAAGGGAATATTTGCACAGCTGCTTTCTGGTATCAATCTCCATGACATGTTATCTGATTATAATGAATACCTACTGCTAGAAGATAAGATAGATGTTATGCTGACCCAAGTTTAAATTGAAACTTGTGGCAGAGCGATGAGAAGTTCCACATTTCCACTTCCAAGTTATACCAACATTGCACTTCTATTCATAAGCAAGTCCCTCTCATTGACACTGTACTCCCTCTGTTGTGCATGCCACCTTTTAGTGAGCATCAGAAGGCCCTAAGTGTACAGGTACATACAGCACACACAGACCCTGTGCAGTTAAAGAGTAAGGACACCTGTTACCTTCATTTCTTCTTGCCTTCAGGTTAGTGTACCAACCAGCTGTTTTCTGTCCCCATCTATAACAGGCATCAGTGTATCTCTAGACCTGGCCATCTCAGTAATCTCATTGACACATCCAAAATGATACTTACTGCCTTCTAAACAACCACATCCAGTTTTTCCAATGCAACTCTCGTACATGATGCCACCTCCACAGCACTTCTCTGATGTGCTCCTATGCCAACTAGTTCCCATCTGTACTCAGGCAACTGAAAACCATTTTGTACATTCTGTACAGTTTTTTGCTGTTTATCAGGATTATTTGCTGCAGTAGAAGTGCTTTCTAAATGCCTCTTCAGCTCTGAATGATTTTTTTCCTCCTGTAAAAGTGCAATCTGTTCTTACACTATCAAGGCAGTAGCGAAGCAGATTAAACAGCTGGACCCTTCCCCAAGAAGCTCAGTGTGATGTGCCGCCATTAAATTTTCATTCACTTCAAGGAAAGAAGAATGAGACAACTCTTACTTAAAGAAAACAAAACCCAACAATTTCCTGGGAACACAGGGCAAAGACCACATTAATTCAGAAGCAACTTGCTTGATACATGTTGTTCAATTGTGCTGAGCTATCCACACAAGAGTAAGGAAACGTGTCCTTCCTTATTAGGGAAGGCCTATCCACAACAGCATGACAAATTACAGCTTTGACAAGCAAGCCAAACTCTGTCTGTCAGAAGGCATACTAAAATGTTCACACAGCCACCTGAGGACCTCTGTCATTTCACAGCGACCTTGAGCATTCCTCCTTGACTGAGTAAAATGCTTTTATCTGAAATCTGGGCAACCTTGCAGACAGAAAATCTCAATAATATCAGCAATGCAAACTTACCTTCAGAGCTTTGTAATTGCTATTCACAGCTACAGAAGAATTTGGAAATATTATAGTGAAAGTATATCAAGCTCAAAGAGAACATCATTCAGGGGTTATAAAGACGGACAATAAAGGTAAAGTTGAATTAAAAGTGAGCTGACTGCACAGCACGGGCTTTATGCTTGCCTCTTTTTTGGGTTGCTAAAGCCAGACTCCTTCATCAGAACGGCATGCTTCAGCCAGCTTCCTTGAGGGTACAAGGAACTGCAGCCATCTGCAGGACCTTTGGTGATAATTCACAATTTGCAGAAGCAGCAGTACTTTACAGGTGAGTTGATAATAATCTTTGTATGTTTTTTAGTGGGAAGGTGAACTATTTCAGCCCATTCACAGAAGTGTCCCTATTCCCATGCCTCAATTAAGATCTGCTTTGCTCAGTTACTATGCACATTCTTACCCTATGGAGAACTTGAAGAAGCTACCTGGATTAATGGCAATGACCTCCAGCTCATCCCTGCTGCTTTTATAATTAAAATCATACTAATTGAGACTTGTCACAGATCACAGTATCTGCCTGTAATTGAACATTTAAGTCTGAGCAACGAACAGCCTTTAAAAACACTGTTCCTACCTTTCCTGAATTCAGGCCTCCATTCTTTCTTTGCTAACACTAGTGGCTTCAAATTCCTTTTCATATTTGTGAATTGGCTTAATGCCTAATCATCAGACAAATTATTTTCTTCTTATATAACAAGATTTCCTCAATCACGCTTCATTACGCAAACCCAACTGAAGTTACTCCAACCCTTGTCAAACTGGCAACAGGAGCATCAGTTGCTTTTCTTAGCACCTCCCACCCCCAACAATCACTGCTCTGAGGTTCACAGCACCCTTCCCCCCCATCTTTCACTACTTCAAAGATAGATGCAAGCAGAAAGGAGAAATGGTGGGACAATTCCACTTGTCAAAAAGAAACATAAGGTGACAAATTGTAAAGGGGGTTTATTTAGACCACTTCCACACCTCCACATGTTCTAACAATCAGTGCTTTGAACACCACTTCTTTAGAGCATCTCCCATCAGACTAGGAAAGAATCTCTTTGGAGCTTAACGCATTTGCTAGACAACAGCATTTTCTGGAAGGGGCACTGTGCTTTTCCTACACTCTTTGGCATTTTGTGAAGCCCTAGAAACACAAGGCAGGACTTAGAAGGCTTGGTCTAATCCATACAGCAATTCCTAGGCTTTTCTCTCTCATCCTACTTGGTTGCAGTGCGTATTTTAGGTAAATATCTGAAACTATTTTAAACCTTTGAAGAAGTGGTCTTTGAGCAGGCCTGCAGCCTTCAATGAGGAGATGCTAACAAAACTTTGGGTGCAAATCATTCTAAGCAAGTAATTCTGCCAAAAGCCTCAGTTACTATAACAACAATCACATACATTTGTCATTAATATCCATCCCTTAAGGCAATGAAACTAATGTACTGCTGTCTGCACAAGAAGGGTATTCTCAAACTTGCTGCTGTTCATATCCATTCTGATGATACTCCACTACATCAGTCTTTCTTGCAGAGCCCTTCTGAGTGCAGTCTGTTGCTCGCAGAACTGGAGAGAACAACGCTTTATTCAACATTTGCAAACCTACGTCATATGAAGCTAACGACTCAACTCACACAAAAGTGGTATTTCAACTGTTTCAGCTGCTTCACCATGTATTTTGTGAATACAATGCATTTCACCTGGTGGTGCTGATGCAGGAGAAAGAAAGCTTAGACTTCATCCCGCCAAATAATGAGCATTCTGGCTGCAAGGACAAGAGAGTTCTAACAAAGAAGCCCCATTTTGCAGTGGGGGTAGAAACAAGCTGTTGTTAATTTTCCCGTTCTGAAAGAAAGGCTCATGCTGAGGTGCTCGGCATGACAGGAACAGCAGGACATGTTACCATTCACAGACTAAGAGGGATTGCAGTATTTCTCAACAGTTTATTTGTAATCAAAAAAGTACCACCATTGGTAAGCTCACCTGTAGTCAATGCCTCCTTCATCTTGATCGCGCAGAAAGGCTGTAGTTGTTCCCCTTGATTCTGCACAGGTCCCAGCTCAAATGAGTTGAAAGATATCCGTAAGAAGGGGGCCATTGTTCACAACAGTGCTGATGCACACCTGAGTGGAAATAAATGAATAGAAGACCTGGTCTGAGACATGTGAGAAAGCACACAGAGCTCAGCCATCACAGCCAGTACAACCCATGCTCTGAAACCCAGAAGTCTTATATGAGGCTTTCAGACCGGAAGCCCAAAGTAAAACCAGCCCAAACTGAGACAAGAAACAACAGTATGACCAAAGCCTTAACGTAAGGCACTCTTTTTAGCTGTACCCAGTTTGACTTCGAGCCTTCTCAAGTTTTAGTCAACCGAGACCACTTTCATTGAGAGATACAAATTATCAAAGAAATCACAAAGTAAGACAGTGGAAAATTCAAGTGGAAAAACTGCTTATGTTTATTGCCTTTTCTTCCACCCATAACAACAACAAAAAAATTTGGAGCCACTTGTATGACTATATAGAATGGGTATATTTAAATATATATTCCTACCAATACAAAATGACAGCACTGAGTCACTTGGCTTAAACTTCCAGGAAATGCAGGAATCCAAATCACCTAAGTCAGCAAAGCGGAGTTTCACTTGTCTTCCCTCCTTCTCAAGAGCTCCTAAACACAGCTCAGTTTGCAGCACCTCCAGCAATGCAGTTCACTGCACACCAATCCTTGTTTGGTGAAGGAAACACCAATTACTCAAAAGGAAAGGAAGCAGCATTCCTCGCTAACAGGTGACTAAGTACAACCAGAGAAAGGATTAGGAGAAAAGAGTTAACGAGGTGCTAGGAAGAGATGATGGAAAAAAGAATGGAAAGTGGGCTGAGCTGGTCTTTATCTGTAGATTGTTAACTAGCTTGGTGGAGCAGATAGGAACAGCATTTTAAGCAATCCTGCATACGCTTGCCTTTTTAAAATTTTTATTATGTAATGGCACTGACCTGAGAAGCAATTAACATTCTTTAAACTCTTAAGACCCAGAACAGTCATTCAGATAACAGACTATGAAATTTGCAGCAAAGCAGAATACAGTTCCCAACACCATTTTCTGGCACCATGCAGTATTCTTACATGGAAACAATTTGCAAAAGAAAAAAAAAAGTCTTACGACTCTCTAACATTTACTGAGCTAGTTTTTATTAATGGAGCAGCTCCCTGTCCTCAGTAGAGTAAGGCGAAATTAGAAAGCAGGTTTAGGATTACTTGGCACCATTGTTTGCTCTACTTCTAACAAAATTGCTTCTGACACTGGTTCTGGTTCTTGGTGATACCAGGCAAAGTATTTGCAGGCAGGCCAACAGCCACACACAAAGAATGAAACGCCCTGCTCTGAAGGGGCCCTGGCTGTGCAGCACACCCTGCAGGAAGAGCCTCGGTCCAAGAGATGCTCTCCCTTCAGCGCCTGCCCCTTCCATGAGCCACAGGCTCACCCAGGCTCTCAGTGAAAGAACGGCCCTTCCACACTAATCCACTGGTTAACGTGGCTTGCGGCACTACTGATGAGACTGGGGATTGAGAAGGCCTCAAGGAGAGCCAAACAGCTTTTGTAGAAGCACCACCTGACACCTCCCTCAGACAAAGGCAGCCTAAGCACCATGCTCATAAAGAGCTTCATTGAGGAACATATTTTAACTGCCTAAGAGAGACCTGTGCTCAGGGCTATCTCAAGTGACGGCTGTATGACTCACCAGCAACAAATCACGTAATGTTCATCTCAGTACAGATGCAAAAGAAACCAGAATTTATACTATTTCTGGTTTTAGGACCCACTCGGGCCACAGGCAGAAACAAGCTAGGTAGGTTGGTGTGCAGCTCCTGCTGGAAACTTTGACAAAAATCACCAGGATGCAGAATAGCCCAGGCTGGAAGGGAAAACCCAGCTAGAGATCACAATTACAAAATAATTAGAAGGCATCGACTAAGCTAACATCAGCTACATTAACAACTGCACTGATTTCACCCAAACTGAATCCAATACTAGTCCGAAGCAGACCACAAGGCTTGTTGGGCATTTACTTCAACAGCAAATTAACAGATGAAATGGAAACAGGTACAAAGAAACGTGGATTTTGTACACCCACGCAGTCTTCCTTTGTTCTGATGCTCTAATGCAAAATCTGCTTTGAAGGTCGCATTTTCAACTCTGCTTCTCAAAACACTGTTTCTTAGTTTTTGTTTGTGGTTATTTGTTTTAGTTTTGTAACACTTGGCTTGAGTACCATCTCAAATCCTCTCTCAGAAATGCAGTGCTAAACACAAGCAATTAAGGAGTCAGCAGGAGACATCAAAACCAAAATCAAATTCTTTGATCGTGGTCACAAGAGCTTACTTTCAAGGTTACCATAAGAGCACTTTCTGTTTTTCCTTTAATAGAAAAATGTCAACAAACATCTCACTTTCACATAAGAAACTACCTGTTTCTGCCAAGTTTCTTTACCCTTAGACATTCTGCTTTTTGAAGAAAAGTAGGTATGTTCAGTGGCTTCACAGAAAATCCCACTATACGTGATAGACTGCACACTGAGATGCAGGGAGGCTGGTTAAGTAAAGACAGGAGGGTTAGGATTCACTCCTCAATTGCTTTCCAATCTTCATCTACACTAAGATACTGCACTTGACACATGCTGGCTGTACTGTAAACAACAAAAACACACCCGACTGAAACTGTTTTTGACAGCAAAAGAAATTCCAGACAAATTTACTTTAATTCAACATTTCTAAAAATCCCTGCTCATCCAAAGTTTTGTCACATCTGAAAAGCAAAAGCACCCAAAGTAAAACATAATACCGCAACTTAGACAAAAGTACCTCTCTGGTCTCCTTTAAAGCATTGACTCTAGCTTTAAGAACCATCAAGAACTGCTATAAACCACCAGCTATGACCTGAAGGCAACTTTACAATGGACTCATATGACCTGTATTACTGCTAGGAAGCATTAAAGCCAACATGTTCTCCCTTCAGTATATGATTTTACCCGAACTGGTGGAGAAACTGAGATGCAAACTCCAAAAATACTACAACTGAGAAAAAAAACACTCTGGGAAAGATGCTTTAGAAGCACTGCTTTGCACCAAGTACCCATGATGGCCACAGTGATTCAGACCGTGCTCCTCAATGCTCCCCTGAACATTCATTACAAGGACCCCAGTGCACCCTACTGCAAGTTGAAGCTACGTCCAATACCACCTACAGCAGAGTCTGTAAAACCCACATCAACTTCCAAGCTGCTTTAAAATTGACAGCTTTTGTCCGTATTCAATATGAAAAGAAAATCATCCATGTTACTGTTGACTATAATAAGCATGGAGAGAAAAGAGTGAAAATTGCAACTTCTTCACAGCAATGCCAGCATCGGATGGGCGAGTGCTTAGGTTTTTATTCTAATGTGACACTGAAAACTGTGAGACACAATGGACTAGCTCCTCTCCTCCCAGCAGTGCACAGCAGCTATGGGGGACTCATGCTGAAGCTGAAGACACCGCTTGTCATGATTCCCTTGAGCTGTAATTCCTCCTTGCTGCAAACAGTGAGCCACCTTTAATACAATCCAGGAGCAAAGAAGCAGTTGTGACTTTTGCACAAGTGGGAGGAGGAGGAAATACTGCCATGCCAAGAACAGGTTGCTCAGAGGCAACACCATAGAGGTGTTTAAGGTCAGGCTGGATGGGTTCCTGAGCAATCTCATCAAGTACTTCATCTAGCAGCAATGCCTGTTACAGAAGACTTAGAACTTGATGATCCTTGTGGCCCCTTCCAACCCAAGCCACTCTATGAATCTAAGAACAGAACGCTGAAGGGACTAAAAAGTAATGGGACAGTTTGTCCATCACTGATACAGATCTGTACATTCAAGCAAAAAGCAAAATGAGAAGTCTCCTCTGCTGATATGAGCCTCCGGTTTCCTTGTAACGGTCAGAAAAGCAACCAAGTCCCTGCATTCTGCAGATGGACGTACAGTTGCACACACCCCAGGATCATGCCTTGTCCCTGGAATGACTGCTTTCTGTTCAGCTCCTTGCTGAAATCACTTCCAAAGCCACAAAAATGCTTTGGGGAATGCCAACACCAGCAGCCAGCATCAGACACAACTGACCAATGGGTGTTCACCCCTGAAAACACACAGTAATAACTTCTGCTTCTTAAGATGCAGAAATATGAGTTATTTCCAACTTGCAGTGTTGCTTTTTTTTTTTTTTTTTTATTACACAGAAGGGCTTCCTTTCCTCCATTCTGGCAATGTACAAAATGTTCAAGAATGACAGCAACAAACTACTGCCCAGCTTCCGCTGCCCCCACAGAAGCCTCAGAACCACAACCCAACTCTTTGTGTACTTCCTACAAAAGGTTCCCCTGCTAATCTAACAGTGATAACACAGGAAAGTCTGCAGGTAGAGATGCTGGCAACGTGATTAACATCCTTTACCTGAGCACACCATTAACACACACAGCTGCGTTTCGATTATTCCCTTTCATGGTGCTTTTTGCTTACATTGCAGAATAACAGACGGAAAGCAGTCAAGATGGCTATTGCTCCTGAATAACTCTTCACAGGTATACACTGTGCTGATCAAAATACCGTCTTCAAGACAGAAGCAGCAGTAACCTTGCTGTAGAACACGTACCTGAATCAAGGTAATCATGATATTTATCATTTTTTAAGATTGCAGACCAATAGTTACTCTGTAGAGAATTTTCACACATTCTGATTCAGGTCCAGTCCTCTATTTGATGTTCTGGGGGAAGAAGTTCCTCTCAAAAAGAAACCAGCTTAAAGAGTTTTGTTATATTTGCTGTTATCAGCCTTGTCAAGAAGACAGACTGCAGTGCTCTGTATCAGCCGGACTTCCCTAAGCACTATGGACTATGACACCACTGCTATTTCAGCTAAAGGCTGAAAAGGTGCCTATAGCCATTGAGGTACCTACAACAAACACCACAACGTAATGCTGACAGATGCCAAAGGAGGCAAAAATACATTATTATTCAGCCACTCAAGTTGTGACTATCTCGTTTTTATTTACTCCAATAAACGACAGATCCATCTGTCCATGGAATCCAAGAGTG